TGTAAACTTACAGATTAAGGGGCGGTAATATTATAATGAGATCCTTTTGCCACGTCACCAAGGGAGCGAAATCAGACGCGCTCGTTTTCTCAGATGCTTGCAGAAAAAGGCTTACCAAAACCAAGTTACTGGGTTAGTCTTTTTCACGTTTCCCTGGTTGGTAGATGCACCGGGGACCTGATTATAGCACTTAAAACCTGGAAAAGTCAGATTTTCATGATATGTCACCTTTAATGCCTTTAGGGTGAGAAAGGTGATCGAGGACCTCCTGGACCTCCATCATACAGGGTATGTTGACTATTTCTCTGTTCTATTCTGCCATTTTACAGATGCCTGATATTTATGATTATTTATCATATTTTAACATTGATTAGTTTACTTATAAAAACCTTTTCACCCAATAGGATGGGCCGTTCCCAGGCATAGGTGGAATAGGACCAAAAGGAGACAGTGGCGAGCCAGGATTCCCTGGCCCTAAAGGAGACAGAGGACTGCCAGGTATTAGAACATGCAGAAACTAAGAAATTACGTTTTCTATTAAAGGGGTCCTATTATGCTCTTTTACAAAGTCTTGATTTTGTTTTGGGGGTGTACTAGAACATGCTCTCATGCTTGGTGGTTCGAAAAACGCATTATTGGCGAATCCGGCAGGCACTGTACTGTGTCATGTTGTGGAAGATGTCCTCAGTAAAATGCGCAGCACACAATAGCAAATTGGGGTTATAATGCTCAGGAACAGAGTTAAAAAATAAATTGCAACCACTGTTTCCTGATATCATCCGCTTTCGGAAGCCCAAACAAAGACGTTTGGTCAAATTTACAATGAATTTATACCCGTGTTGTACATTATGCTGTACGCCATGGATGAGCGCTTTGTAAAAATGAACGGATTGATTATTCAGCTGCGGGCGCCATCTTCTGGCGAGATGCGGGAATTCCTTCGGCGCGTGACTCTCACGGTGCATTATGGCCATTCTCTAGACGTTGAGCGTGCACCAGTTGTACACTCGTTTTTGCAGTGCATTGTGGGATTGAATGAGTGCACTCGAGAACGTCCACTATGGTTTCCCACACCACTAAAAATGGCTGTTCCCTCAAATAGTGCCCTATT